GAAGCGAAGCGAAGGATTGTTTCCTTAATTTGCGCTTTTTAATTTTCGCAACGCGAAGTGGGTCCGAAGCGGTTGTAGCATCGGCAGGAATTTGCGCCGTAGTCTTAGACTTCGGTCGCGGAATAGGAACGTGCTTAGCATCGCTCAAAGAAACAGCCTTAGTCTTAGCTATAGGCTTAGGAACCATTTCCAGAAAGTCGAGTCTAAGACTCAGACAATGGGCGAGTAACTGCTGCGGCGCAATGTGAGGCGAGGACCGAACAAATGATCGTCGATACCAAAATGTAACAGCCGTCTCTTACCTTAGCTGTTTTAGCGGAAGTAGAGGGTCTCGTCCACGATTGGCGACCCAGCGTTAGGCGTGAGAAGAGACAAGGGAAGTCGGGATTCGAAGACATACGTCGAGAACGGTGACAGCAAGGTCTTGAACCCTGAACACTAGTATAGTGATACGTTAAGTGTCTGGCCGAAGCACTTCACCTGGGTGGCTTAAATGCGGCCCACCTGCCGCCATCTCCATTCCTGGAGTCTTGGTGCCGTACGCTAGGTTGTGATAGCGTACCAGAAAGTGAGTTCGTACAGTTAACGAGTATGGTTCGTAAATACGGGACCGTACCGTTACTGTGATTAAGCTTTAATAGCTTAAAGATATTCTAAGGTAAATGTAGCTTGCTACAGGTTGGAGAGCACTGGTTTGACCTCGTCCTTGTGGTTTTGGCAGCGTTCTGTTTGTTCGCTCTTTTGCCTATGTAGAGATGGCGTGTACGCCGTCCTTGCTGCTGGAGTATCGTTTGGAGGTCGTTGAGGCGTTTTGCTTGGGGAGCTTTATTTCGTGTCGGTGTGTGTGCCTGTCTGGCAGCTCTCGCGTCCTTTGTCCCTCTAGCGGCCCGTCGCGTTGCGCCGTTTTGGTGATCGGTTTGTTTGTTTGTTATTTCCGCTAGAGGGGGTATCTTCTCCTTTGGCATTTACCTATGGAGCAACAACTAATGCGAGCTTGCGTTAAGTAAGCTGGGTTAGTTGGGCGTAAGGCCCAATGCGTAACTGTTAGACTAACTGTTTCGCAACGGCCCGTGTCCTCAGGGCCGTCATTTATTGCGCGCATTAAGCTGGTTAGCTTATCTTGTTTTTGTTGTTCAGCGCGCGCCCGCCCGCCCGCCCGTTTATGGCGCAGCCTCGCGTTAGTTCAGTTGCGGTGTCTCTTTCTCCGTTCGTAAGGCCCGTCTTCTTCGGGCCTCTCAGTCCTTTTCTCTCTTTCATTCTTTGTAACAGAAAATGGCATTTACCTATGGAGCAACAACTAATTTGACTTTACTCTGAACAAGGTGCTGTATACGTTGCACTACCAAAAACGCGACCGTTTGCTTGCACACAACTGCCTCTTGAGTTTAGTCGGAACCATGTGCATTATGCGCTGCGCTACCGAAAGCAGGCGCCTTATGGCTTGCACACAACTGCTTCTTCGCCGAACGCTTCATCTTCCCGCGGCAGTTTCACGAGCCCAGTTTTGCAAGTTACGACGTAGGCTTTAGGTGCTTTCAGTTACTGCAAAGCAGCCACGCAATAGTCCAGCCTGCATGCCGCGTGCGACTATGGCCAACAAGACCACCTGCGCAATGCGCTGGCGCACCTCCAAGAAATTTATATACACTTGTACAGGCGCATTTTGCGAATCGCACGCGCGCATCCGCACGGTGAAATTCGCTCCTGGCTTTTTTGGGACGATGTACGAACTGTTTATTCGCGAAGTACGACCGGACACATTTGTGCGAGAGGCTGCTTAAAAAGAGGGGGGTCCTTGGCGTCAACCGCCTTGAGGACGGTGCCCGCGTCCATGCCGTAGTCATAGACGAGCTCTATGGCGGTATCTGCCCGCAGGCTGCCGGCAGCCGCGATCCACAGCTGCATGACCTCTGCATGCGTCGCCGTCGCACGGTCCGGCATGTCGCCTTCGTGTATTGCTGCCGTGATGTTGTACAAGAACGCTGCAGGGGCATGGAGGGAGGGAGGGTGGATGTGAGGTCGGCGGGATGTCGGGACGGAAGTGGAGGCATGGAGGGGCGAGGCGTGACAGGAATGGATGCTGTGGCCACATGGCCGGACAGTTGGAGAGCGGGCACGGGGGACGGCAGCGGGTGCAAGCGAGGAATGGGCGGCAAGGCATCAGGACTTACTGCTGGCGGGCTTGGCGTCGTGCTGCGCCAGGAAGTCGTCCCTGTACTTGCGGGCCTCATTCTTTGGCATCATTCTTTAAGATGCTTACGAACTGAAATAGGCTGCCTAATGTGGGCTCCTGGCAGACGAAGGGACCTGCGCCTGACACGGCCCTGACTCCACCTATAACACGCCTTGGCTCTTGCTTACCACGTAATTGCTGACCGACACTCGTCGCCCAAAATTGTGCGGCGTCTTCATCTGCAGGTGCGTATGCATTTTTGTTGAATGTTGAATGTTGTGATGCAAGCGCCGGTCCTTGTTACAATCGGCAAGCCGGCCACCGCGTACCGGATATGTTGGCGATGTCAAAGAGACGGTGCACATCGGTACCTGTGCGCAATGCGTACGCTGCTCGACCGCGCCGACCAAAACTACATGTTCCCATCTGAAGACAATGCCGGTGGTTACTCAGCAGCTCTTGAGCTTGCTGCTGGCTCAAGTCCTTCCGTAGATGCTGCAACACGGCTAACGCAGGCACAGCCGAATGCGCTGCGAAAAGCTGTTCCAAGCCCTCAGCAGCATCCATTTTACTTGCAAGGTTCTGAACGACTTTCGCGATTCTTAACTTTACCTATTTCTGAGGTGTTATTATTTATTTCGTAAGAGTGTAACTTGAGTTTAGTCGGAACAATGTGCATTATGCGCTGCGCTACCGAATGCAGGCGCCTTATGGCTTGCACACAACTGCCTCTTCGCCGAACGCTTCATCTTCCCGCGGCAGTTTCACGAGCCCAGTGTTGCAAGCTACGACGATAGCTTCCATTGCTTTCAGTTACTGCAAAGCAGCCACGCAATAGTCCAGCCTGCATGCCGCGTGCGACTATGGCCAGCAAGACAAACTTCGCAATGCGCTGGCGCACCTCCAAGAAATTTATATACACTTGTACAGGCGCATTTTGCGAATCCCACGCGCGCATCCGCGCGGTGAATTTCGCTCCTGGCTTTTTTGGACGATGTACGAACGGTTTATTCGCGAAGTACGACGGCTCACATTTCTGCGAGGGGCTGCTTAAAAAGGAAAGTTTTACGCAAGAAGAAAACGGGTGTTTATGAGAAAGAACAGCGTCAATTTGATGATTTGCATCATCAGCAGCAAACATGCTCTCGTACCGGCCTTTGTGTTGGACCTCAAAACGTGTCGTAGATTTGTCCCTTCTAGTTGGGTTGACGCCCTCGCGCAGCGCCCCCAGCTCGAGCGACACTGGGCAGTGGTCGCTCATGAGGCTACCAACTCTCTCGCCAGTTAGTGCGACAGGAATGTCTAGCACGCGCAATTGGTTCGACTTGAAGAAAAGGGCGGGTGATGCTACGAAGAGATCAATCATGCTGCTGCCGTTCCCCGTCGGACTCCAAAAAGTACACGCCCCTTGCAAATCTCCCTGGACACGCCCGTTCAAAACAACCATCTCCATTTCCTGACACAAGGTAGCCAGGGCCCTTGCGAACACATTATCAGTTTTGTCTTCTGAAAGGCGTGGCGGAATAGAACGCAATAGGTTGGCTTGCCCCAGCTCAGCCTGAACACAATCCGCTAACTCGGCATCCCCATCAACATCTGGCAGTTCACGGATCTCCGCTACCCTGGAGTTTAGGTCCCTCATCAACAAAACCTCGTCCCCAGGTTGCTGATATCGTCTCACCAGCGACCGCACCCTGTCCATGACGCGTCGTGTTACACTATCCTGTGGTCTACGTCCGTTAGCTGTGTAAGCCCGAGATCCGAGCGGTGCAGCGTAGCAGGCGCCAATAACCAAACCATTTCCTCCAAAATTCAGGGCTTCACCGTGAATTCTCAGCCAGACACTGTTCATGCCTCTTGGCGCGTCTGTCGATGTGCAGTGAGTAACATGACGTGCGATCCGCTGATGCACCCAAACGCAAACACCCCCCTGTTCTCTAGACTTCCCAGCAAGATAGCAGCAAGACCCATTAGGTATCAGCCGAGATAGCCTGCCCACAAGTGACCCGTGCGTTTCAGTAAGTACAACAATGTCATAACGCAAGGCGAGTCGAAGTAGTTCACACTGTTCCCCTACCAACTCATAGGGGGTCTAACAGCGGCTAACTTCTTAGGCGGGGCTGTCAGCCGGGCTCATTATCAGCTGCTGACGATAGTTGTCAACGTGGCATAACAGCCAGTTAGACACTGGGTTAGAGGCTGTTTGGTCCTGTTAGGCCCTGTGACTGACATGTACCTGGAGCCCACACTGTTAACAGTTGTCTGATTCTAGGGACTGTTAGCAGCTGTAAGGACCTGTAACAGAGCGCTTTCTGCCACAACAGGATATTGTTGACAGGATGTTACATTCTGGTTGGGTCACCCAGATGCTGAGAAAGAATTTTTGACGGCTGTTAGGGTTTTGGGAAGGTAATTGTTAGCAATCGTTCAATTCACTTAAGCTGTTAAGCGGTGCCAAGGGCTGTAGTTGCTAACAGGCCTTGAAAGCTGTTACGAGCAGGGACATGCTGAAAGGAAGTTCCATCATGTTACTGGCTGTTGCCATTAGATAATTTGCTGAACTGCTGTTTAAGGATTTTAATTGCTGTTTTGAGGTTCAGACGCTGTAAATGTTATGAGCTTTTACATGATCCCTGTCCACTGTTAAATCACACATTCCCTTTTTTTTGAAAAGCNTGTCTGACTTCATAATTCATGCCATCAGCATCTATTG